ATCTGTCTAATGCTGGGATTAAAGGTGTGTTATCCCAGGTGCTGGTGCTGACATCATCTTTGTGTGAGCTGTTTCTCTCTAGGACTGGATCAATCTTGTGTAGTTCTGTGTGGCCTTGAACTGACAGAGATTGGTCTACACCTTCATCCTGAGTCCAGGGATTAAAGGCATATACCACCACCTACTAGCTTCTGGCTGCTGGGATTAAAAGGTGTGCTCCTGGCTGACTTTGCTTTCTGAATCCTCAGGCAAGCTTTAATAAATCATATGTAATGTATCACCACACATCCCTATTTGTTAAGCTTCTAGACGTAACCCACTTTCAATAGCAAAAGACTGAAGTTACTTAGAAATTTCATATTATCCCCATCACAACAGCCAAGATTCATAAAACCAAAAAAATAGCACATGCTGATTAAGATGAGATAATAGGGAAGTTATTTACTGCTGGTAGAGTGCAAACTACTACAGCCACTATGAAAATCATCATGGAGATTCCTGAAAAGGAGGAAAATAGATTTACCACAAGCTATATCTGTCTGAACCTTGAGCACATACCCAAAGGACTCAACACCTTACTGTAGGGATAATTACTCATCTATGTTCAAAGCTGACCTATTCATAACAACCAGAAATAAAAGCAGCCAAAATGACTCTAAGATGACAAAAAGATAATGCAAATGTAATACACTTAGACAGTAGAATATTATTAACTAGTTAAGAATAGTTAAATTTGCTTGTATGTTGACAGAGCTAGAAACAATCATCCTGAGGAAGTTAAACAAGCATTGCATATTTCTCTTAAAAGTGGATAGGATGTTGCACTTTATCATTTAGACATGTATCTTTCGTTTATACTATACACAGAGGTTAGGTGTCCAATAAGGCATGAAGGGGAATAGAAGGTCTGCCCTGGAAAAAAATATATAGAATACAGAATTACAAAGGAATATAGGGGAAATTAGTTCAGGTTGATTAAAAGTGGTGGGTAATGGGAGGACTGGATAGATGCAGAAATATGGGGAAGGATAGCTAACAGTGAAGTCATTAGAAAAGTCCAAGGAAGACGTACTACTGTAGAAACATGTGTTTGCATACATACATACATACATACATACATATATGCATACTACACACATATAATTTTAATGGAGTCATAGTTATAATAGGTGAGACTGTGTCCCTACTTAAGCTAACAAAACATCTTTTTCAGTGTTAGTCAAAGTGGTTCATAAACTCTCAACGACTAAAGGATATTGCCAATGCTGTTGGTTACCAGCTACAACTAATGGTAAGACACTATTGATGGTGATACAACATATTTGTGACATGTAATATGGAGAAATCTTGATGATAGTAAACTAGACGCTTCACCCATACAGACAAGCTTTCACATTTGTCTTAAATGTACCATATATGCTTTGAGAATAGAGACACAATCATCAGCCTCATACAGCTGTAATATACCTATGCCAAGCTGTAATAATGACTTGCCTACAAGATATTCTCACTGGTACAATAGTGGAAATAGTGCTAAAAGTGTTGAGGGACTCATCAACCCAACTTTCAATTGGATTACACTCCATGATATAGAACCCATACTTGCTATTGGTTATGCTTAAAATAGTTAAGTCTTGGGGCCTATGTAGAAACCTACACCTACAATTCCACTACAAACAAAATATTACAATAAAATGACTTATGCAAATGACCTATTGCTATACCCATAGATGAGAGTTTTACACAATTCTCACCAAAGAACCTTCTTCAAGCGGTGGATAGTAAATAACACAAAGACCAAAACTGAACAACATGCAGAAAGTGAGAGATTTTGGGGGTGCTTCTCTCTAAATGATATGTCTTTATCCCCTTGGGGCTCAAAAATTATTGTACAAAAGAGAAAAGAAAGACTCTAAGAGCCAGGGATTACACATGATTAAGAAAACAGCATTTGCCAGACAAATATGATAGACTCACTTATGAACTCAGGAAAACAGTGGTGAAAAGACCTGGACAAATTCAATCCATTCAGAATCCCAACAAGAGCCGGGCAGTGGTGGCGCACACCTTCAATCCCAGCACTCAGGGGGCAAAGGTAGGCGGATCTCTGTGAGTTCGAGGCTGGGCTGGTCCGATAGCCTCCAAAACAATACAGAGAAACCCTGTCTCATAAAACCAAAAAAAAAAAAAAAAAAAGAATCCCAACAAGAAGAAGTGGGAATAAAGTGCCACCAGTAGATAAACATGATCAAAATACGTTGTATGGAGTGGAGAAACATCATCAAAAAACTGTTTCAAAAGGCCCACTTCTAGCTAGGAAGTTATTTGCAAGTGATAATTTCTGGGAAAAGAAAAAAGTGGTTATCTTCAGTGCAATGAAACCCAGTTTATCAACCACACTCACTCATTCCTGGGCAGACACAATAATCACATGTACTTGGCCAGCACTAATCAGATTCTAGACTTTTTAGTATCTTTTTATTGCTTGTTTCATTTTTTGTTGTTTTTGTTTTTTAAGGCAGAAAAATAACATGAAGTTTGGTGGGATAAAAGGGGGCATGGATTCTGAAAGAAAATAAGAATAAAAAAATAGACGTGTCAACGAAGCACACAAATAGGTCAACACATTCCCAGATATCTTATCAGTAAAAAAACATGTTCCCATTTACCTCATCAACCTAGGAAATTCATGGCTTTTAGATTGATGTTTCCTTAATTATCAGCTAGTTCACTGTCAAAGAAATTTATCCCTATTCTGTCACTCAGCCCTCCCCTTCTAAATTCATTTCATGCATTAGATTAATAACAATTGTATGACTCTACATGTGCAGGTGTTCTATGTCTCTGGGGTATTCGTTGACCACAGAAAGATAAATTAAGACACCCAATTCCTTAAGAGTGTTTTTAAAAGGGGTGGAACTATTTTCTAGAATTTAAAGTGCTTTGAGTATTTCTTACTATGGTCAATACTGAGTCAATAAACAGGAACAATGATTACAATATGAACAAAAATAAAGAGTTGGTTGAAGTGGTAGAAGAACCTTTTAGAAGAACTTCACCAGTTGACAGGTTCTGTTAAATGAGAGGATCCTGTTGCTTCGCTCATGAATCTAGAACTTACTCCATAAGAGAAAAATAAAGGATTTATATTCTCTTTGTATTCTCAAACAAAAATCTTTGCTCCTAAGATGGGTTTTAAAAACATTTTGTGAGCAAGACCATAGGAACACAGGTATTAATTTATTTGATGGTAACTCTTTAGAATATTCAGTATAAGAAAAACAAATAATTAGGAGGTAAAGAAGTGAACTCATATATCCCTCAATTCTCGGACAATTGTTCATATTTGAGGATGGCATTTGTTTCTTAAGTATTTCCACTCCCTTCTATTTTATTATGCTGAATTAGAGCTTTTAGCGTGATTCAGTACATTCCAAATTGTAAGAGAGCTTGGGTGGTAAAAGGTTAGCTATAGATGAATTTGATGAAGTTGTGGGGAGGAAAAAGATAAAAGATGGTATGTGAGAGCTAACATGAAAGCTGGACTTACAGTTGTACCAAATTTTGAGTGAAAATTTGTATTGTTTCTCTAGAGTTCTGGATGTTAGAATCATTGTGTATAGTAATTTAATAAATGCAAGATTCAACTTGCTTAATTATTCTTTAAGGTTTACTTTTAACCTATCTACTATAGATTTAGTCATTAATTCTGATATATTTTTCTTGCTAAAATCCCCAAAATGATGCATTTTTAAAAATTCTTTTCTCTCCATCAGAAATACACTTTTTATAATAGTTATCAAATCTAAATCAAAACATGTTTGGATAGTAATCAGTATGTCAGAGTTTTAGTCATGGTTTCATTATATTGTCCTTAAATGTCTTTTACAGAGACTTTTTCTTATGTAACCTCTTAATACTCTATATGGTAGTGCATCTTATTCCTTAATTTTTCAAACTAATACCACACTGAAGATTATGATACCAGACTGGAGACACTATTCAATTGGTAAGGTAAACGTTCTGAGAGCATACAGATATAAAAAAATTAACCCCTGAAACCTACATAAAGTGCTAAATTAGTGGCCTGTCCTTGCAATGCCACAAATGCCAAGGCAGAAATATGAAGATTGCTGGCAAGTCATTCTTCCCTTTTAATGAACACTTCCCTCTTTAGTAAGCGTCATCTCTGTGACCAACTCTGAGTCAAAAGTCAAGATGGATGAGGCCTTAGAAATGATATCCAAGGCTAATTCTTGATTTCCACAAACACATATAGCCACATACGCATACAAACAAACAATGAAAAATGAATAAAACACTAGCCTTTAGAAGTAATTGGACAAGTAAGGTGTATAGCGTCTGAGGACTCATTAAGATGAAGTGTAACCTTCAAACATGTATTATGATGCATGCTGGGTTCACATTCACACTATTATTGCACATACTCACATGCAACAATATTAAAAACAAAAAAACTTGGTAATAAAAATAAGAATAATTTTACGTCTGAGAGAAGTTTCTGCCACCAACAGCGATGACAAGGCAAGGATGGAAGGAACATACAAATGTACTCAATGAGCAGGATAGTGTTTGAATAGGATTACAATTTAAATCACTAGATACATAAATAGGTAGGTAGGTAGGTAGGTAGATGTATGTATAAAAGCAAAGACAATCTTATTTTTCAGCTAAGGAGATCTGTATGATATTAAGGGAAGGTTGAAAATTAGAACATTCAGAAACAATGTATAAATGAGAATAAGTTATTAAAAATTGTAAGTAAATTACCAAGAGCTAGCAAAGTATTAGAAATATATTTGTAGTGAGACAAAGTGTAATTTACTATCAGTTAAATTTAAAAATCCAAGCACAATGTTGAAACACCTTGGAGAAAAGACCAATTGATTTTAGCCCATTCTCTGATTCTGATAATGGCCATTTATTCCCTTCTTTTCTCTGTCTCTTTTAGTTCAGCTGCTCTGATGGTTCAACTCTACCAGAAGACATACTACACAAGGCCAATATTGCATACAACCTGACAAACTGAGGTCTAGGAGAGCAAACCTCTCATGCTCCCCCTTTGTTCTCTAACAGGACATAGTGACTGTGGGTGAGGCCCTGGTCCATGAGAGGATCATGGTCCTTCAACTCTGCCTGTGGATAGTGCTCTTCCTCTCCACATGGGCTCCAACTAGACATGCTGAGTACAGTAGCCCTCCAGAAGTAGTGATATCCCTGAGGGTCACTGACGCTAACAGACTTAATACTTCCTCAGGCTGGTTGTCATATAGCCTGCAGTTTGGAAGGGACAAACATATTATCACCGTGAAACGCACAAAATACTTCATATCCAGAAACTTCCTTCTGTTCACCTACACTGACCAAGGTGATCTCCTCGCAGAACAGCCTTTTGTGCAGACTGACTGCTACTACCATGGTAATGTAGATGGAGACCCAGATTCCATGGTGATAATTAACACCTGTTTGGGGAGTTTACAAGGCATGTTAGAGATAAATGGCACAGCTTATGAAATCATGCCCAAGAAGTCAACTTCCACATTTGAACACCTTGCTTACAAAATGGACAGTGAGGACTCTGAATCATTTTCTATGAGATGTGCGTTAACAGAAGAGGAGATAGCACGACAAATGGAGATTCAAGAAAGCAAAGACTCCACACTTAAGCAAAGTCAATATGAGAATTGGTGGACCCATCACAAATATCTTGAATATTATGTGGTGATTGATAACCAACGATATGTTTATAGAGCAAGTAACCTCACAGTTTGTATGCAGGAAATGTTGCAAATAGTCAATGGAATCAATGGTTATTATCGTCAGATAGATGTTGAGGTGATTTTAACTGCACTGGAAGTTTGGACTGAAACAAACCATGTCAATGTAGTAGAATCTATATCTACAGTCCTATCTAATTTCTGTGACTGGAAGACTAGAAACATTGACAGTCACACTAGAAATGATATTGCACATCTTTTGGCTGGGCAAGTATATCCTCCATATTTGGGGCTAGCTTATGTAGGTACAGTTTGTACACCTCAAAATTGTGCTGTTCACAGTTTCATGTCTAATTCAATGACAGACATGGCGTTCATTATAGCACATGAGATGGGTCACAATTTGGGTATGCATCATGATGACCATGGATGTACATGTGGAAGAAGACACTGCATAATGGCCCCGCACAAATCTAATTCCCCTAAATTCAGTAACTGCAGTTATGAGAAGCTATATGAAACTATTACCAGAAAAACCTGTTTATACAACTTTCCAGATAAAGTCGTCAGCACAAACCTGACCTGGTGTGGGAATAATATAGTGGAGGAGGGGGAGCAGTGTGACTGTGGGTCCCCTCAATTATGTGTAAATGACCCATGCTGTAGGCCAGACTGTGCGTTCAAACCTGGTGCTGAATGTGCTTTTGGGCTTTGTTGCAACGATTGCAAGTTCATATCAACAGGCACAGTGTGTAGAGAAAAGAAAAATGAGTGTGACCTTCCAGAGTGGTGCAATGGAACGTCACCTGAATGTCCAGAAGATGTGTACATGGCAGATGGAAGCCCATGCAGGGGTGATGGTCATTGCTATAATATGGCATGTCATAAACGTGAAGAACACTGCTGGAGGCTTTTTGGCAAGACAGCCAAAAGTGCAGAGGAGATTTGCTACAAGGAAATGAACACTCGGGGTGACCGTTTTGGTAACTGTGGCAATGACAGCTACAACTACAGAAGATGTGCTGATGCTGATGTACTCTGTGGACGAATTCAGTGTGACAATGTGGAGCAGATTCCAAATAGGAGCAGCCATGAGACAGTGCATCAGAGTCAGTTCCATAATGTCACCTGCTGGAGTATAGACTTTCATTTTGGAATGACAATAGAGGACAGTGGAGCAGTGAGAGATGGCACAGCTTGTGGTCAAGGTCAAATATGCATTGACAGGAAGTGTCTGCCTATGTCTGTTTTGTTAAGTAACTGTTCAGCATCCCAATGCAGTATGAAAGGAGTCTGTAACAATAAACATCACTGCCATTGTGATGTCAAATGGGAGCCACCAGACTGTATGCAAAAAGGTTTTGGAGGTAGTATAGACAGTGGGCCACCTCCAAGAATATATTTTAAGAAGAAGCCCAAGGGTGTTCAGTTCATACTAGGTTTTTTTTTTCTTTTTTGGGCTTTGTTATTTTCCTTGATTTTCTTAATTACAAAATATGCAATCACCATAAAAAGTTGAACTAGAAGAAAACCGTTATCCAAATGAACCAGCACTTCTCACTGAAACTTCACCTGATGATTCAGCTGAGAAAGATGACCAAAGTAAAAAGAAAAAGAAATAATAATAAAATATCTACTCCATAGGAAATCCATCATGTATTAGTTTGTAAACCTCAGAACATAGAAATATCTCTGTGTGTGTAAAAAAAAAAATCCTACGCCATAAATTCTGCAGTCCTCCTTCTTTGAATATCAAAACCATTCACCACCAAATAAAAGGATGCCCTACCACACTCACACTTTTCTATATTATAATCAAATTGTTGCCTTATTTTCAATTGAATTGTTGTATGTCAGCTATTGGCATAGGTCCAACCCATGGTCTTCTGCATGTGTTTCTTTGCATCTGTTTTCTCTCAGCTCCAAATACCTTCCCCTTTTCATTCTGCTGTATCACATAGAGAAAGGGAACCTCCAAATCCCATTTCATCCTGGCAATTGCTGTCTGCTAGAAACTGCCTCTTGGAGGGCCAGAGTGAGGTTTGAAACTTGAGAGAACGATTTGAGGTTCCTGGCCTGGTTGCTGCAGTCTCAACTCTCATCTTAATGGTATCAGTAGCTCTCACTCTACAGACGATTTTCACACGGATTTGCAAGCTCACCAACAGACCTGTTCTAGTTAAGGTTACTCTTGCTAGTATGAAACACCATTACCAAAGCAAGTCCGAGTAGAAAGGATTGATTTGACTCTTGTTTTGTTATAACTATCCATCATCTGAGGAGGTCAGGACAGGAACTCTAATCCGGCAGGATCCTGGAGGCAGGAATTGAGGCAGAAGCCATGGAAAGGTGATGCTTACTGGCTTAGTCCTCCTGGCTTGCTCTGCCTGATTCTTTTAGAACCAAGGATCAAAAGCCCAGAAGTTGCACCATGAAAAAAGGGCAGGGACATCCCCCATCGATTAGTAAATGATCATTTTAAGAATGCCATAGTGGCATTCATACTTTGGCTGTAACCAAAAGCTCTCTGATTAGAATTTAAAACTTCTCAACAAGCAAGAAACCATATCTGGTACTGGGAACCTAACCAACTACTCAGGGTTGATGGATCATAGATCTTAAAGGAAAACCTACATCCACCATTTTTAGTAATTCTGCATAATTTCTAACCACACTCCAAATATTTGTGCTTGTACACACAAATTAAGTGTAGTCCTTACCCCTAATCAAAGAAACTTCTCTTTGCAACACGTGGAGAACATTACGGAAAATCACAGCCAATCAAAATAAAGAGTTATCAAACCAATTCTCAATGGATGCCTATACCTAAGGCTCAAGGAACACTGTTAAAGAGGTGGCAGGAATATCGTAAGATCCACAGGATCGAGGAGTTTTGCTGTGAGACTGTGCCTCCTAGTAGTCTCATAAACTACTCATAAAAAGTTTCACCAGCGTGACTGACCAAACATGAACTAAACAAGGACAACAACAACAGACATGCCAAAATAGATACCTCATGACCCCACCATACCACTCTTCGGCATATGCCCAAAGGATGTTCAATCATGCCACAAGCGTACTTGCTCAACTATGTTCATAACAGCTTTGTTTGTAATAACCAGAACCTGGAAACAACCTAGATATCTCTTAACTGAAGAATGTATAAGTACCCCACTTTCAATACCCTACTTTCACCAATAGACACGTGATCTAGATTTTTAAAAAATACAAAGAAATAACAAAATTACTGACAGTGTGCAACAAAATGGGTTTAACATATATCTACACAATATTTTAAACAAACAACAAAGAATATAGACATTCTTTTCGGCACATGAAAGCACCAGAACAAAGGCAATCCAAGGTTCTATCAGAGGCCATGATGAGAGTATAAAAGGAACTTTAATTCTATGTCATTGCCCAGTGGGACAGGTACAGGATTTCTGAGGAATCGAGTTTTCCATTCCTGGGAACTCTACTTTTCCCCCTGAAATGCTGTAGTTATCAGTTCCAAGTCTGCCGTTGCCATATGCTTGCTCTGTGACACATTTGAGATAGCCTGTGTTCTCTTTACACAATATTGCTTGATAATCTTCCTGCTGGCTCTGTTCCGTTATGTGGTAGTTGTCTGCTGACTCTGTCCATGTTTCCCACTGCAATATGAGACACGGTGCTGCTAAACCGTCAGCTTGTGTACTCCTCCTGACACCAGCTTCCTGTCTTCTTTATTTTGTTATCCCTGGTCCTCCCCATTGAAATCTCATAGTTCCAAACCTTAACCCCTGCAGATTCAAGAAGCTGAGCTTTTCTAAAATAGAGCACATTGGGAGACAGAAAGCAAATAACTGCAAGTCCAAAGAGCTTGGATAACTCGTTGTATCATATCTAATGGCAATGCATCAAAATTTAAAATTGGCAGAAAGCAAATCTCTAGAATACCTAGAATATTTTCTCATAATGGAACTGAATATAGGCCTCCTATGACACAGTGGATAGCTATGACTGTGTCAGAATTTCATCATAGCTCTTTAAAGTCCTGTGGACATGATTTAAGGTTAAAGTAGAATTTCATTAAAACCTGCTAACAGCAGCATTATATAAACTGTACTTATAAAAGGGATTCGTGGGGATAGCAAGATAGCTGTGCTTGTATAGACCATTTGACACATGCCTGATGAATTGAGTTTAATTGCTAGAACTCACATAGTAGAAAGACAGAACTTACTTATGAATAGGACTATGATCTCCCCAAGGGTACTGACTTACTTAGGGTTTCTATTGCTGCAACAAAACACCATGACCAAAAGGCAAGTTGGGGAGGAAATGGTTTATATTATATATCAACATTGCTGTTCATCACTGAAGGAAGTCAATACAGGAGCCTAATATTACAGGATCCCAGAGGCAGGAGCTAATGAAGAGACCATGGAAGAGAGTTACTTACTGGCTTATTCGCCATGGCTTGCTCAACTGTCCTTATAGAACACAGTACAGGAAGCCCAGGGATGGCATAATCTGCAATGAGCTGGGCCCTCCCACACTGGTCACTAAACTAAAAATTTCTTGTAGCTGCACCTCATCAAAGTATTTCCTCAACTGATGACTCTACTGTGACAAAAAACTAACCAGAGCAACCATCATACCTGCTAAAGGAAATTTCAATAAAGAAATAGAATTTTTCATTTCCATAGTCACTTTTCTTTCAGTTAAAAGTACTATTTAATTCTTTTTTATTTAATTTAGAAACAATCTTATTTTACATATCAATCTCAGTTCCCTCTCCCTCCCATCCTCCGCTGTTCCTCACCAATGCTCCCATCTCACCCTTATCCACTCCCCAGGTGAGGTCTTCCATGGGGGATCATCAAAGTCTGTCACATCATTTGGGGGGCCTGGGCCCTTCTCCGTGTATCTGGGCTGAGAGAGTATCCCTCCATAGGGAATGGGCTCTCAAAGTCCATTTGTGCACTAGGGATAAATACTGGTTCCACTATCAGAGGTCTCATAGATTGCTTAGGCCTCCTAACTGGCAGCCACATTCAGAGGACTTGGTTCTGTCCAATGCTGGTTCCCCAGCTCTATGTCTGGGGTCTGTGTGCTCTCACTTGGTCAGGTCAGTTGTTTCTGTGGTTTTCTCCAGAACCTCCAGAGAAGCTGGGAAATAAGGACTCTAAGAGAGACATACATGGTCTCTCAGAGAAGGGGAAAGGGACAAGAGCTACTGAGCAAATTGGAAGCAGGTGGGGGTAGGAAACAAGAAGAGGAGAAGGGGAGGGCAGAGGAGAACATGATCCCTCATGTTCGGGAAGACTGAGTTGGAGGAAGAATAGAGGAGAGCAAGAAAAGAGATACCTTAATAGAGGGAGCCATTATAGGTTTAAGAGAAATCTGGCACTAGGGAAATGTCTAGAGATCCACAAGGATGATTCCAACTAAGAAGCTAAGCAATAGCAGAGAGGTTAACTTAAATGCCCTTCCCCTATAATGAGACTGATGAACTTTAAATGTCATCCTAGAGTGTTCATCCAGTAGTTGATGGAAGTAAAAGCAGACACCCACAGCTAAGAACTGAGCCATACTCCTGGAATCCAGTTGTAGAGAGGGAGGAGGGATGAGCAAAGGAGTCAAAAGTACTAATTAATTCTTAAACATATTTTGAGATAATAAAAACCACACAAAGGCAAAGTAATGGTTACTGAATATTGTGTAAAATAATCACCTCTGAATTAATGACTCAAACATACTTAAACATGACCTTTCATGCAATTGGGTACAGTCTAGAGGAACATTTTCCTCTGAATTTTCCTAGGCTGTACGTGGGATATTGCATAGCCTGTGATCTCATCTTGGACAGGACTGGAAACATCAAATTCTAAGCACTTTTAACATTCCTGGCATGATTGCTCTTCTGTCAGGAGTGTATCTGACTTTTGTGGCACTTCACTGACATCCTGGAGACATACCCATGATGCTGCATATGAGAAGATATCCTTTAAATATCAAAAGCAAAATATCGAACTCTATACTGTTTCTTATAGTATCTGCACTAATTTATGTTCCTCCTCTTGGTATTTGAATATTCTTCATTGTCTCAATCCTGTAACATTTTAAAAATTTATTCTCTGATAATTTCATAAGTGTATATAAAATGTTTTTATTTAATTCACCCCCAATACCCCTGTCTTATACCACTCCTGCTTCTGCTGAAGCCCTCTCCTTACCAAGAAGTCCCCTCACCTCACAACCTTATGTCTTTTTGCGGCACATCGGGTTTACTAGGGGTTAGTTTCATGAGTAAGTCTCAGGGGTTAATTTCTGGAATATGAACAAATTTCTTTCCTCAAACCACTGAAGAAAATGACTCCAACAGCAACAATTAACTGACTGTAGCTGATTCAGAAGAAGCAGAGCCTTCTAAAGTTCTCCTCTATCCACAATGTAATGTTGATGTGCCCAATTTTGTGCAGGTACTCATAGCTGATGTATGTTCATGAGTGCAATGACCATGTCATATCCTAGACTGTACTTCATAGCACACCTCCCCATCCCCCACCATGACATCTTTTCCTTCTTCTCTTTAACAATATTATCAGAGGCTTGGAAGTGATTAAATAGATATACCACTTGGACATTGGAAGTAAACAGTCGCTTCCTTTCTGAACCCCAATAAAACCAATTGGGTCACCGAGTTAGATTTTGGTGGTATCTGTGTTACATTTACTCAGAAAACATTCTGTCACCCAACTGACAGCCCTCATGATGTTTATGCCACCCTTA